ATGTATGTATAGGGTGTTCCATTTGAAATAAGCAAGTTGATTCACACTCCCGGTATATCCGGAAGTGTGGCGATTTTGAGAATGTCTTAGATCGGTTGCCCCCAATAAGTGCGGCCCCAATTTTCAAATTGGACAAATTTCTCCTAATTACAGTCTGCCAGATATCGATCGCGGCGGTCCCCGGTGGGACACCCTGTATACGGTAGCTACTACTGAATGTATTAATTCATTTATGTAATTTACATATCGATTTGAATGGTTAAAGGCGTACAAAGTTAGACTCATTAGCCGTCTGCAGGCTCTTTAGCATTAATTTCGCAACTGCAAGCTACAGTGAATTCTTAATAGCTTCCAGCCACCAATTGCCGAATTCCTGGCTCTTCTGCCAGCTTTGAAAATATGCAAAACACGTTGTGGTTAACTGATAGTGTGGGAAATTTTTTCGAGTAGCTACCGCATGTCGCTCTGATTAAATAAAACATTTGCAAACAGACACATATTTAATGGCTTACAACATTACCCATGAAATAATCAGTACGCCGATGTGTGGATTCTTATGTGCTACTAGTCTATAAGTGGTTTGTTTGGGCAAAGACAAGTAAACTTCAGAAGAAAAAAATGACTAATAATAATTCGTTTCTGGTTGTTATGTTTAAATGTTTCAATTTTCTTCTTAAATACGCCGCCATTGTCGTGAAACTGCCCTGTAGAAGTCGAACAACTGATCGAACAAAATCCGTTTAATAGTTTAATTCAATAAATGTATGTCTGTTTACGAATGCTTCCTGTAAATTCTGGCTTTAAGTAGGCCACCACAGTGAACTATTAAAATAATTTAAAATAGAGTGGCCTAAGTAAATCAGAATCAATTTCAAAGTGAAAAACCACAAGTTCCTGTTAGCTACGACATAGGAAAAGCTCTCGGACTTGTGGTTCTTCGACTCGAAATAAACTTCAAATGAAGCACTTACCAGTGATGACCAGTCGGCCCTTGGTAGCGCTAAGTCGCGTTTCTCCGGTTAGCCTGTGTTTCGTCCTGCATTGATAGGATTTGTAGCCATCCTCAGGGCCTACATCACGAATGTGCAATTCGCCCGACGGCAATACTAAGTATTTGCTATCTATAGGAATAGACAATAATCAGTAAAAGACCTTCAAAATGGGCAAATCATCTGCGACACCATGCTGATCAAAGTGGGGCTGATTGAAACAGATGCTCCTAATTAGCGTTAATTAAGTGCTTAGCAGCAACGGAAGTGTGCCATTTCCGAAATATGCCCCAATTATCAAGAATTTGCCTTTGCAGTTGGCAAAGAGCTTCAACAGTTGTTATGGCATGGTGTTCAGTGATTTCCCATAAAACATTAACTTATTTAACTTTCATGACTGATGAGCTGATACTAGGCCGTAAAAGCTTTCAATTTAGCTGACTTGTTTCGGAGTTTTGTTAGACACTTCTAGCATTATTTGGATTGGTTCTTGACATTACAGAAAAAGGCCCTTGTTGATTTTCTTAAACATCTTCCATTTTGCTGGCTGACTGTTGAAACTGTCTAATAAAACGCTCAAGTGAGGCATCGTAAATATGTTAAGCGGGACCTCGCATTGATACTATAGAGTTTTAAAGTCGAGGCTTTCAATTTCAAACTGCCGCTGTAAATAAAGTAGTCAGCTTTTATGGCCCTGCAACAATCTTGAAAGCGTATGTTGTGTGTGTGGATGAAAGCACCCAAAACTGGAGCTGATGGTTGGGTTGCTTGAATCCACACGCAACTAGCAGGACATTTAAGGCCGCTCATTGCAAGTCAGCACAGTGCGACTAATAAGAGGCCTTTGAATGTACTCACGTGAAATATCCTCCACATGGATGGGAGGATATTTTACGCTGCAAGCATTCTAATCTACAAGTTCGAACAGAATATTCAGTTGAGTGTTGAAAACATTTGCTTTTCCACATCCATTTCCCTGAAGATTCTGTTCTCTGATCTCTACAAGAGTTTGACAAGGGATAGATATGCGGCGCTTAAGGAAGTCACAGGAGTTCCAGATGTCCAAAACCTTTTTTTCTAATTGAGTAAAAAAAAATCAGCGAAACCAGTAGCTACGAGGAACAACGTTCGGTTAAAGCCTGATTAAGCAACGCTCAACCCAAGTCTGTAAAGCGTTTATATGCGGCAACTAATTTGCTTCGTTTCCGTAAATACTGTAGATTGCAGATTTGTCTTTGGCGGATTTTCAGGCATCCAGTAGCAGGCGTGAAACGACCGTTTTGATTTCAGCCAAGAACTAATAATTTTTACTAGCTTGGAATATTTGCAGGCGGCAAAGGATGTGGCAGCTTACTTGAACGTCTCACATTGCCCCTTTTTAACGGATTAATACGTCGCATCCGCTAAATATATTAGATATGCAACCTAAATAAATCAAGTCGCGATCTCAACATCTGCTAAATCGTCTCGCTCATGAAGAAAGGACACAAAAGGTGCCAGATAATAATAACCAGGACAAGGGCGGATCCAGTTTTCAAGTCAGGACAGGCTTCAATTCAATTATTAACGGATATTGTCCTTAATGCTAACCGACTGTTATCAACAGTATTAATATGTAAATATTTGAATTGTAATTGGAATAATGTCGCCACGCCAAGAGCTTGACTGATTGATGAAAGAAAGGCACTTTAGAGCCAACAAAAAATATTCGATTGAATTTAGAGATGATGCCATTTAATATTACTTTATTTATTATGTACACAGAAAGAAAGACACTTGAGCAAAAGCACATCTGTAGGCAAACAAATATATTCTTCCAAAAATTCGGGTACTCGGCCTTTTTTGACTGATAATATTTTGCTTGGAAATCGTCCATTCGGCATTAAAGTCTTCATAAGTGTCAACTTTTTCAACCAATATTAATTTCTCATACAATTTTTTCAAAAGGTTGCAAAATGAGCTCGAACTCCTTTTATTCCCTTGCGGTTGCCGCTATCCAATCGGAGGCTGGAATCGTTTGTATTGCTACTTCTTCAGGCCTTTTGGGGCTTTTGGAACTTTTGAAATATCTTGACATTTAACAGACATTGTACAGTCCAACAGATTATTTTCCAAATGGTTTTTGTCGATTTTTGTCAAGACAGCCGAACTCTAGCGAATACCCGTGGAAATTCAGGGAATTTTTGTTTTTTAAAATATTTCCAACAGTTGCGGATTTATGGGCAAATATTGTGGATGGCAGTTTAAGTCTCTTTAACTCCAAATTCGATTTTCTCCGAAACTATACCTATACGAAAACGATGTTATTGAAAAGTGGAATTTTGGTCTGCATTCGACTCTTAAATGAAAAATATGCACATTTGCGATTTTCAAACAATTCAAAAATTCCCAAAAATTTTGAAAAAAAATGTATTGATAAATTTTTTAGAAAACCATTGAATTGCTCCTAAAATTACATTATGGGGTTTAAAAAATGTTTATGCGCCGCCAAACGTGTAGTAAAAGAGCATGTTTCCAGGAACAAGCAGAGCTTCAGATCTTTCAAATTTTAAACTCCCTTGGCGCTGAAACGATGTCCAAAATGAACTTTGACACAGCTTTTACGAGAGTTTTACGCTTGGCAATATTCAGAGTCTTCCAAACTGTTGCAAATACAAATCTTCTTAGACAACTGGAGTGATAGGAAAAGGAATAAGCGAGAATTTTTCGCAATTAACAATAAGTGAAAATGATTAAAAAAACACAAAATTCACGCACCGTATGGACCGCCATCAGCTAGAATCTCATGACCATCGTCTTGCAACCATGATATGACGAATACATAGTCCGAAACGAAACTGGGAATATGGCATTTTAATATTGCGGTATTGCCTTTTAGGACACTCTCATCCATTACGTTAGATGTGTAGGCTTGAGAGACCACTGAAAAGATGAAGAGAAGATAATTTACCAATAGTGAATGAAAGTACTACAATATGATTTATTCACTATGCTTGTGGTGTTTTGGAAGTTAAATGATCAGTAGCTGAGTGAGTAGATCGATCAACGAACTTCCCGGCTTTAAGCACACGGAAGGATTCTAAGAGAAATCGCCATCGAACGAATTTCCGGCGTCATTTCGGCCTCACTGGATAAACACACATTCTGTACTTGCTACGATCGCAACCGATTCTTATTTGTCAAAGATAAAGCGTAAAACGGAAAAACTAGTCTAGACACATCATTTGCCAAATCGTGGAATAAGAAGAACTCCCATTAAAAATCTGTTCGAGGAATAATGATTTCTTTCAAAACAGAAAATTTATCAATTTCAAGATAATCGACTGGTGAGTTTTTCAAGCTTTTTCATAATTTCTTCCTGGCCCCAAAAACTGGTGTTTGTTAATAAGAAAACACTATCGCAGTTGTTGCAGTAACACCAGTAGTCTTTATTCGGACGGGCGTTAGGTGCGATTAATTTGCTAAATTGGCTGGTTGGCTCTAAATACACTCAACTGTCCACATGGACATTTGCCCATTGGTGAGGTCATTGAATTGCGACTGTTTATATAATTTCCACAATGAACCTACAAACGCTCCTAACCGGAAAACGGAGTTGTGACATTAAAATTCACTCCAACTGTTAAAAGGATGGATTGTTTCATGTTCACCTGCAATACTAAAGTAGTATTAGCATTTTACTTGAATCAGTTGCCAATCGCCGTATTATTTATGTAAGTGGAGAGTTTTATACAAGGCCAGACAAATTCTTCAGTTGGATCATGTTGATGGCGTTTCGATACTCGAAACAAGAACATCGGATCATTTAAATACAATTTATGGAGCGCTTAAATATAATTCATAAATTGTAGAGTCTAACAACATGAATACAACATTGAAAATGGCATCGGTTGGTTCTCGTTTAGATTGCTAGCCTTGAACCAAATCATTTAAGTCGTCTGGTGACTTGTATGGGGCTTTGCAAATGAAAACAGCTACTGAATATCAAACATACATTAAAATAAGGACATTCGATTTAAAGATATCAACATATCTTACTTTGAAACTGCGGTGTTTTTCGGGCTTTGAGCCCTAAGTCTTTTCACTCCTAACTTAAGCCTATAAAAGTAGACGCTAATGTACATGTAGTTCTTGCAACTAATACATCTTTATACTGAAAACTGATTCAAAAGCCATCCATTATTGAAAATTAATTATTTGATCAATGATTGGCAGTTTTGGGCCGCAAGTACAAGTCGATTGTTTCAAAATAGCTAAGTCATATGAAGTTCTAGCGTCTCTCTTGGGAAAGCGTCGATTAGTTACAGGGGCATTATTTCTCGCTGGTATTGCCACTGTTATATTTTCGGTTCATAGGCCTACAATCAACGCCTTTTCCGCTTCCGGTTCATTCATATTCCAGACCGACAACAAAACGATTCCGACGAAAGCAAAACAATACAAGAACACTAATAACGTCGCGTCTGTCACGGATTCACCGAAATGGAAGTTGGCCTAAAGCTGATACAAAGCGCTTGTGAAATGAAAAATTAAAAATTGATTGCTAACTTTACTGTCTTCAGTTCTGTAAACTTTAGCTGAACATTTTTGACCGGCCGTGAAAGCCTTCACAGTCTGATGAATATTTTTTTGTTTGGCATAGGAATTTGAATGGTGAATATTTGAATTTGGCGCGTTTCCGTTACCAGGCAACAGCGACAACAAAAAGTATAGATTATATTTTACTTAATGAGAGCCATCGAAACAGGCGTTATGAACATTATTCAGCCCTTAGGAACCGTCAAATGTCAAGAACGGCCCAATATATTTAAAATCAGAAACTTCTTATGAATGTCTTATTGACAACTCATGCCAAAGTCTTTCT